GACTCAACATCCTGCAAGGCTGAGATCTCAAATGCCAGTCCCTGCCAGACCACTGAAGCCAAACCCACCAGCCCAACCACCCGTGAGGCCGCAGCCAGCCCGCCTACTGCTACCAAGCCTGCTGACCACTAATCTGGCCTCAGTCTATTGATTCCTGCAAAGCAAACCTCCAGCTAGAGAGAAATCTTAACTGCCCTCCCCAAAGCTCACAATGACTTAGTTAGATTTTTTCTGCATCATCACTCACCATCTTCTTATACTTCAAAGAACTCACCAGAAATATCAGTGTCCTAATGGTCCAAATGAAAGCCCCCTGGGCACCTAGAGTGGAGACATTCTGGATTCCTGCCTGCTGCTGCCATTAAGCTGAGAAGAGCTGCTTTACCACATCATTTTGAGTCTCTTTCCCAGCATTAAGTTTTTTCTTTCCTCATGCATGTGCTCCCTTGCTGGGTGTGCTCACATTCCTTGGGGACCTCTTCCATAAAAAAAAGATATTTACCTGTCCAATAAAGTGGCTAAGTTGGAGTGACATGCTGTTTTCATTGTTCTGTTAATGTCATATTCTCTTGAGCTAACTTGTTTTGTTTTTGAGAGCAGCATCATCCATTCATCTATCCAATAAGCTTTATTAGACAGCTGTTAGGTAGGGACTGTGTTTGGCTGTAAGAATGAGAAAACTAAAGTCTTGGTCCTTGTTCTCAGAGAGCTCACTGTTGGGATGGGAGTGGGAGGAGACAGGCAGAGAGACAGTAACTACATTGCCTTGTGTTAAGTACTGGAACAGAGGCAAGCATAGGGCAGTTTGAACTGAGGGCATGCGGAGAAATGGGGAAGAATTCTTGGGGAATGTGATACTGAAGCTGAGTCTTTCAGCACAAACAAGAACTAACCAGTTCAAACCAGAAAGGAAGAGATTTCCAGGCAGAGGAAACATACAAATGAATGGGGCTTGTGAGCAGACCATTCATTAGTGAGGCTTGGGTGGAAGTGTGCTTAGAGGCAGGTGAGCTCTGGGGTCAGTTAAATAGATGTGATCTGCCCTTGGCGGGGTTTATAAGCTAGACAGAAGCATTTTAATGGTACAGGGCTGACATGAAGGTATCGAGGGGCCAAATGCAGGGCAATTATATGAAGAGCACTGGGTTTTGGAATGTTCATCTGGCCTTGGTGTGGAGAACTGAATGAAGGAGCATGAACTTGGATATAGGGAGACTGGGGAGCAAGCCCATGGCTTTGGGGTTCACACTGGGATGAAAACAACTGGGGTGTCACACTGTATTTCTTGTGCTATGAGCCCATTTCCTGCGCATCCAACTCCTACCAACCTCTCTGCTGCCACCTGGGGTCTTCTGCCTCTGCCATCTGCCAACCAACTTGCTCTCAGACTTTCTACAGCCCTTGCAAAGAGCCTTGTACTTTATGTTCTCCTAGTCTCTGCCATGAACACTCCTTGTGTAAACGTTATATACTCTTGCAATCCTAAGGACAGAGTGTCTTCAAAGTAGTCGCTTAGTGCATGGCATGAAGGACTATTCCTTGTCCTCAAGATGCAGCTTGGGCTATCCTGAGCACAAGAGGGGGTGACCCAGAGCTTCTCAACTTTAGTGTTGTTGATATTTTGGGCTGAAAAATTCATTGCTGTGGGGACCATCTTTCACATTGTTGTATATTAAGCAGAATCCCTGCCCTTTACCAACTAAATGCTGGTAGCATACCCTAAGTGTGATGATCAAAAAATGTCTCCAGACATTGGCAAACTTCCCTGGGGATGAGGGGCAAAAATTGCCCCTATTTGAGAATAACTGGGTTATATAGTGGCCAAAGGAGAAATTCAAAGGTGGAACTTAACCAGTACATGGTGTCAGGGTTACTATCTCATCAGGCCATTGAGATTTATCTCCATTTCCTTCCAGAGTCAAGAGGAGCTGGTCAGAGTTTTAAATCTCTGTCCCAAGCACAGACCCAGTGTTTAATGTAAATCATAGCAATTCTGTGAAGTAAGATTTCTTTCCCTCTACTTTATGAGTATGAGTGACAAATAATCCAAGGACCAATAAATAGAGACAAGAATATTGTGGTATATTCACACAATAAATACTATGCTGCAGTGAAAATAACTGGACAATGGCCATATGCAAAATGGGGATGAACTTAACCAGTGTAGAGTTGATATAAACAAGCCTCAAGATCACATGTTTATAGCTCAAAAACAACACCCATAATACATGCATACACATATGTATGAGGATACACACATATATGCATACATATATATGTACATACAAATATATACCTTATGTATGTTCACAAGGGAATGCTAAACACAGAATTTAAGATAGCCACAGGGAGTAAGTAACATACAAAAATAACATATGATGTAAATACATATAATATACAAATGGCATATAGAATAGTGGTTTCTGTCCAAAGTTTGTGTTTTTTTATGATCATCATGTTTTTTGATGTGATCACAACAGCCCTTGGTGATACATTAGATGTGTTTAGTGCCGTGAAACACAGCAAAATGAAAGGTGTCACTATTTAGAGGTTTCTGTTTTTCACCTTTATTGAGGTATAATTGACAAAACTGTAATATATTTGTAATATACACTGTGATGATTTGATATACATATGTACCATGAAAAGATTCCTCCTATCTAATTAATTAACACATCCATTGCCTCATACTTTGGGGAGGGAGGAGTGTGAGAACATTTAAGTTCTTTTAGCAAATTTCAATTATGCAGTATCATGTTATTAACTAGAGTGACTATGTTATATATTAGATCCTTAGGCCATACTCATCTTATAGCTGAAAGTTTGTACCCTCTACCAACCACTTGGTTGGTACCAACCACTTCCTAAAAAGAAGTTTCTTTGGGAGGAAGAAAGACAAGAACAGAATCAGGGAAAAATGGATCTAAAAATGGATTGTTTTAAAACAATAAAAATGGTATGTATGAATGCAGGACATTGACACCCTTTTCAGGTTGAAGTTGAAATGGTTTCTCAAATATATCCATATTCCCAGTATGACTGACTTATATAGCAAGACCAAAAGTATTTCTTTTGAAAGATGAAAGCTTTGGGTTATAGATAGTCAAGAACAGAACAGACTGCAGTGATCCCTGCTGTTTGCAAGGTGCCAAATTATTAGTGATAAGTTGGATGGCAAAAGGAGTGATTGGTGCGGTAACACAAAAGGCAATGGTAGGAAAAAAAAAAGATACTTTAATGAGAAGGGTTAGGATTTCCCAGGCATCATTCTGATCATTCTGATCTCTTCTTTTCCTTTTAATATGAGGGTGAGGAGGAGGGTGCCAAGGAGCAGGTATTCTTTAGCTGGTACTTTGAAATGTACCTTCCAGAATTTCCAGCATTTTCAGTAATTTTGAGGCAGCTAATAAAAATAAAAATAACCTGAGCAACAGCAATGCAGTGAGTTGGTAAACTCTCAGTACTTTGGATACTTGGGTAATGAGCTAACATGTCCCACAGAGTGAGTTAGTAGCAGAGCCAGAAAATGACACCAGCCCTGCTGTGATCCCAAGGCCAAGATTTTTCTGTTTTGCTGTGAATCTTTGGTGTGAACCAGGTCAGGACAGGGTCGGGTGTGAGATGCTGAAGTTGGTGGTGATGCAGAGCCAGGATGAGCCCAGAAAAGGGGGGAAGAATTCAGAAAACCAGTGCCTCATAAATCCCTCTTGGAAGAGGGTGATATAACCCTGAAATTACTTTGCAGTGATGTCCTTATACCACTTTCAGTTGTTGCAGTATATTTATAGAACTCATACACTGTGAACTCCATAGCATGAATTTAATCCTTGGCGAAATATTTTGCAGTTACTAAAATTTCCAAATTAAAAGATTGTATTTGTGTATATGGCTAAGTAGAGGTATCCAGTTTAATCTAGCTGATGATTCCAGTTATGGGAGTGGACAAATGGTCCCCATCATGAGGCAGTGCACTGCTGTATAAATGTCAATCTTCTATCACTATATTACTGTTTTTTTTCCCTCCACTCCTAAGTCAGGAGGTCTAAGAGATAATTAAGACCAGAAGCTTTGGGGTCAGCCCAAACTAGGTTTGGATCTTATTTCAACCATTTATTACTTGCATAATTCTGGGAACACGATTTAAACTCTCTTACTTGGTTTTGCTACCTCTAACACAGTACCAAGAATTACACCTGCTACCTAAGGTCATTGCAAGATTTAATGAAAAATGCAGTCAAGGACTTGATGAATAGTAAGTTACTATAAGCCATTAGTACTACAATTACTATTATTCTTAGTGTTTTTTTTAATAAATTAATTTTTATTGGTGTTTAATTTACCAACATACAGAATAACACCCAGTGCTCATCCCGTCAAGTGTCCCCCTCCGTGCCCGTCACCCATTCACCCCCACCCCCCGCCCTCCTCCCCTTCCACCACCCCTAGTTCATTTCCCAGAGTTAGAAGTCTTTATTCTTAGTGTTAATAATAAAATGAGTTTCAGGAAAACCAAATGGGAAGATTCTAGAAAGAGGTGGAGACATTGGAGTGCCCTTAGGATGCACTGCCTGATTTTCTGTTTGCCACCTTGCACATCACCCTCTTTCAACTGGGTCAAGGCTTCATTTCCTGATTCTCTAAATGGTGCAGAACTGCATTCCTGGAGAAAGAGCAGACTGCTTTGGCTGAGCTGAGGCCTCCTGATGAGAGGTTAGTTTAGGGAAAAGCCTGCATCAAGGCTGGAGAACAACCTGTAAAAGAGACAGCTCATCCCAGAGCAGGAATAGCATCGATGAATCTAAACCCAGGAAAGATAACTCTCAACTCAACAGACAAGTTTTTAAACTGGGGATAATATTTTCCAGGCTCCTGAAGCCTGCTAATCAGATGTTTGTATGCAAATGGGTGGAAACAATAACACGGAAAGATGCTCTAAGCTGTACCAACACCCCTAGTGAAGGACTATAAAAGCCCCCATGTATTAGATGTCTTTCACACTCAGGTATACTGAGTTTGCAACTTCCTAGCAAGGTTAACGCCAGCACCATGGTGGACAGCTGTTGCCCCAGAACCACCATGACCATTCCAGCTGTGCCCACTTTCATATGCTCAAATGGCAGTAGCTTCCGAAATGGTATCTGTTTGCCTAGTTCCTGCCGGAGCAGAACGTGGCAACTGGTCACATGCCAAGAAAGCTGTCAGCCATCCAGCAGTGCCCCAAGTGGCTGTGAACCTGCTTCTTGCCAACCTACCTGCCTTCCAACAACTTCTTCTGTTGGTTTTGTCTGCCAACCCATTTGCTCTTGTACGGCCTGCTATGAATCTGGCACTGGTCAGTCTCCATGTCTGGTTAGCTCATGCCAACCCTCCTGCTCAGAATCTACCAGTTGTCAGGTAAATTGCTGTGAAGCCAGCCTCAACCAGCAAACCTCCTGCCAAGAACCTGTCTTTGTGTCTGGATCATGCCAGGCAGCTTGTGGCCAATCGGTCTGCTGTGACACTAGGTCCTGCCAGCCATCCTGCTCTGAAGTAACTTCCTGTGCTGAAAATTCTTGCCCACCAACCATCTGTGCAGCTAGTCCGTGCCAGTCAACTTCCTGCCAACAAGGTTCATGTCAACCCACTAATGGCAAAGATCAGCTCTGCAAATCAACTTATCACCAACCCATCTGCTACATTTTTAAGACTTGCCAATTGGTTCCCTTTATGCCTGTTCCCTGCCAGCCGTCAACTTGTGTGTTCAGTTCTTGCAATCCTACATGCTGTGTGTCCTCTCTTTGCCAGCCACTTTACTGCCAACCATCTCCTTCGATATCCTTCGTCTGCCAGCCAGTGGCTAACTGCCAGCCCCCATGTTTTGTAAAGAACGCTTGCAAACTAGTTTCCTGTGGCACCATGCTTTCTGGCCAACCAACTTGTGATGGATCCACTTCCTGCAACCGAGATGTCTGCAAATCTCCTTCCTGTCAACCAGCTTGCTGTGTGACAGGTTTAGGCAAACCATCCAGCGGTGGCTGCAATCGCTTTTGACCAACTGCCCCAAGTCTCTGCAAAGCCAGCACCTGCTCGCCAACTTCCTGACAACTCAGGCATAAGTCCAGCTGCTGTAAGGCAATGCTTCACTGATGCAGCACTCTCCACATTTCTGAGGTCTGCCACTATCTGCAAATGCATTGCTACCCTGTGGTGTCCTTTTCTGACTGAGTGCAAATGCTATCTGCATGCTAACTTCATTCTCAGTCCAGCCCCACATTCTATCCAGGGGTTGGCGAGGGAATTTGCCCAGGCACTAAGAAAGAGACCTTTCTTTATCAAGGAGAAAGTTTCAGCAAGCACGGTCCACGCTACAGCTTGCATTTGCTCATGTTATCATTTCATTTCACCTCCGCAAAACCTCCTCTCCGGCTTTTCTTTCATTTGATGTTGCCCAGTCTTTAAAAAGACTTCTCTGATGTCAATTGCCAATAAAACTGTGAGTGGTTAAACATCATGAATAAAACTCTCAGAATGCTTTCATTCCTTTCAATACACCCCCACATAGATTTCCTTCAGATCTTATTTGAACATGATGACCTTGGCCTCTCTAAATTAGTGGGTCCGCCGTGGTCTGAAAGGGTGGTTGGTATCTGCAATTATCGATTCTCAAGGTGGAAGGGAGAAAGAAAGGACAAACAATCCCCTGGCTTCCAACCTTTATACCATCAAAAGCGTTTTTGAATTGGGTGGATTCCATCTCCCCACAGTGAACAGACTTGGAAAGCCAAAGACAGAAATGGTCTAGGGAAGCCACAGACTAAAATAAACAAAGTTTTTGGCCATCAATAATAGCTAAGGGTTTATGAACTTAACACTGTTTTTTAAAAGATTTTTAATTTTATGAGAGAGAGAGAGAGAGAGAGAGAGAGAGAGAGCAGGTGGCTGGGGTAGAGGGAGAGGGAATCCTAAACAGACTCTGCGCTGAGTGCAGAGCCTGATCTCACAACCCTGATATCACGACTTGAGCCAAAACCAAGAGCTGGATACCCAACCGACTGCACCATCTAGGCACCCCTTAACACTGGTTTTAATGATCAGTTTATCTAACGGACTATTTAAATAAAACGTAAAATTAGAAAATTTTAACTATTGTTTACATTTTTGACATTTTAAGAGGAAGATTTATTTATTTATTTATTTATTTATTTATTTATTTATTTATTTAATTTTATTGGAGTTCAATTTGCCAACATACAGCATAACATCCAGTGCTCATCCCATCAAGCGCCCCCCTCAGTGCCCGTCACCCAGTCACCCCCACCCCCTGCCCACCTCCCTTTCCACCACCCCTTGTTCGTTTCCCAGAGTTAGGAGTCTCTCATGTTCTGTCTCCCTCTCTGATATTTCCCACTCATTTTTTTCTCCTTTCCCCTTTAAAAATAATTAGTCTTAGGAAACATCTGAACTAGTATTCCTACTATGAAATTATCAAATCTAACATTTAAGAAATAGTTGGAGTGGTTTTTTGGGGGGAGAAAGATTAGAGGGAGGTTTGCAGAATCCACGTGTAGCAAATATGCAGAGTCCTTCCTCAAGGGGTTCTGGCCTTCCCTTTTTTTTTTTTTTTTTTGGCCTTCCCTTTAATCAAAGGCTCTGAGTCTGTGAAATGATTTAGGTCTGAAATTAAGAACGCTCTTTTTTTTTGTATTTTTTTTATTGGGGTTTGATTTGCCAGCATATAGTATAACACCCAGTGCTCATCCTCTCAAGTGGCCCCCTCAGTGCCTGTCACCCAGTCACCCCATCCCCCCGCCCACCTCCCCTTCCACTACCCCTTGTTCATTTCCCAGAGTTAAGAGTCCCTCATGTTCTGTCACCCTCTCTGATATTTCCCACTAATTTTCTCTCCTTTCGCAGAACATTCTTACAACAGGTCCTAATGGAACACATTTGAGGATGCTCACTGTGAGATTTCTATGATGATATAGATTTTATAGGAAATCTATGTCCACCCCTAGAAGAGTGGGTAGGCAGCAAGGGGTTATTCTTTCCATGAGGTACTATCTTGGTATGGTTCTCCAGAGAGAAACAATAGGATATATATATATATATATATATATATATATATATATATATATATATATAAAGAGGTGTAATAAAAGGAATTTTCTCATGTATTTTTGGAGGCTGGTATGTCCAAATCTATAGTGCAGGCCAACAGGCCAGTTATCAAGGAGAGCCAGCACTGAAGATGAAGTCTGAAGGCTGTCTACTGGAGAATATACTGTAAACAGAATAAAATAGCTGCCTATAGATAAGGGGGCATAAGGAGAACAGGAATTAATTTAATTGGTATATAAGTACATAAGTTAAAAATACGACAGAGTTCTTGCAAGGACAAAACATGGTAATGTGCCATCAGGAATATAATTAGCTCAATTATTTGCAACTAAAATCCAAAAAGAAAAATCCAAAACACAGGAGGAAAGGAAGAGAGGGACCTTGACATTGCAAAAGAATGACAATAGTTGGAATGTATTTTAGAAATGACATTTTGATGGATATCCCATTTAAATTCCCTCTCCCACAATTTGCATGGAGACTTGAGTCATGTCAGAGGAAGGGTGAGGCTCTGGAAACCGTGATGCATTTGACCTCAGTCCTGGACAGAATTGTCAACAATGTTTCATATATTATACATTTAAGTATATCTCTTTAAATCATTTGCTTACTAATACCAGAACTCTTGATATAGCTGGAATTTCAAATTTCATTTTACAATAGTTTTTGACCCACTTATATGTAATTTATCTATTATCTATCTATCATCTATCTATCTATCTATCTATCTATCTATCTATCTATCTATCATCTATCTATCTATCTCTCTATTTCCTTTCCAATTGTAGATTTCTCTGTTGTACTGGCAAATGTTTTGCACTGGCCACCTGCTAACATGCAAACTGCATTTTTTAAACATGGCAAGTGTAAAAGGTGTTTTGGGAAACTGTGTATTTCTTCATATTTGGCAACAGTTTAAATAACAGAGCATTTATTAGCTCCTTTTAGGTTTGCTAGGACTTGTTCATAAAACATCAGAACCTCCTATTATAAACAATGTTCTGCCAAGCTTGAACATGCTTATAACTAAATCTTTGTCTACACTTACAGCCCAAATGGGGGAGCAAATTGTCTTGATGATTACAGCTTTGTAATATAGCTTCAAATCAGACATTATGATGCCATTATCTCTGGTTTTCTTTTTCAACATTCCTTTGGCTATTCAGGATCTTTTCTGGTTCCATACAAATGTCAGGATTATTTGTTCCAGCTCTGTGAAAAATGTTGATGGTATTTTGATAGGGATTTCATTGAATATGTAGATTGTTCTGGGTAGCATAGACATTTTAACAATATTTGTTCTTCCCACCCATGAGCATGGAATGTTTTTCCATTTCTTTGTGTCTTCCTCAATTTATTTTTTAACTTCCTTAGTTTTTAGACTATAGGTCCTTTACCTATTTGGTTAGATTTATTACTAGGCATCTTATAGTGTTTGGTGCAATTGTTTTTTTTTTAATTTTTTTAAATTTATTTATGATAGTCACACAGAGAGAAAGAGAGACAGGCAGAGACATAGGCAGAGGGAGAAGCAGGCTCCATGCACCGGGAGCCCGACATGGGATTCGATCCCGGGTCTCCAGGATCGCGCCCTGGGCCAAAGGCAGGCTCCAAAACACTGCGCCACCCAGGGATCCCCTGTTTGGTGCAATTGTAAATGGGATTGATTCCTTAGTTTCTCTGTCTTCAGTCTCATTGTTAGTATATAGAAAAGCAACAGATTTCTGTGCATTGATTTTATATACTGCCACTTTACTGTTTTGTTGTTTGAGGTCTATCAATTTTGAGGTGGAGTCTTTTTGGGTTTTCCACATATAGTATCACGTCATCTGCAAAGAGTGAGAGTTTGACTTCTTTGCCAATTTGAATACCTCTTATTTCTATTTGTTGCCTGATTGCTGAGGCTAGGATTTCTAGCACTATGTTGAGCAACAGTGGTGAGCGTGAATATCCCTGTCATGTTTCCTGACCTTAGGGGAAAAGCTCTCAGTTTTTCCCCATTGAGAATGATATTTGCTGTGGGCTTTTTGTAGATGGCTTTTATGATATTGAGGAATGTACCCTCCATCCCTAGGTTTTGAAGAGTTTTAATCAGGAAAGGATGCTGTATATTGTCAAATGCTTTTCCTGCATCACAGGAGAGGATCATAGGTTCTTGCTTTTTATTTTATTAATGTGAAATACCATGTTCATTGATTTGCAGATGTTGAACCATCCTTGCAGTCCAGGAAAAATCCAATTTGGTCATGGTGAATATTCTTTTTAATGTCTTGTTGGATCCTATTGGCTAATACCTTGGTGAGAATTTTAGCATCCATGTTCATCAGGGATATTGGGTGGTAATTCTCCTCTTTACATCAAAAAGAATGGTCTTTGCCTGATTTGGGGATCAAGGTAATGCTGGCTTCATAGACAAGTTTGGACATTTTCTTTCCTTTTCTATTTTTTGATACAGCAGGTTAGGTATTATTTCTTCTTTATTTATTTATTTTTATTTTTTAAATTTATTTTTTAATTGGTGTTCAATTTGCCAACATATAGAATAACACCCAGTGCTCATCCCATCAAGTGCCCCCCTCAGTGCCCATCACCCAGTCACCCCCACCCCCCACCTACCTCCCTTTCTACCACCCCTAGTTCGTTTCCCAGAGATAGGAGTCTCTCATGTTCTGTCTCCCTTTCTGATATTTCCCACTCATTTTTCTCCTTTCCCCTTTATTCCCTTTCACTATTTTTTATATTCCCCAAATGAATGAGACCATATAATGTTTGTCCTTCTCTGATTGACTTATTTCACTCAGCATAATACCCTCCAGTTCCATCCACGTCGAAACAAATGGTGGGTATTTCTTCTTTAAATGTTTGGTAGAATACCCCTGGGAGGCCATCTGGTCCTAGACTCTTGTGTGTTGGGAGATTTTTGATTACTGCTTCAATTTCCTTGCTGGTTATGGATCTGTTCAGGTTTCCTATTTCTTCCTGTTTCAATTTTGGTAGTTCATATGCTTCCATGAATGAATCCATTCTTCCAGATTGCCTAATTTTTTGGCATATAGTTGCTTATAATATGTTCTTAAAATTGTATCTCCTTGGTGTTGGTTGTGATCCCTCCTCTTTCATTTATGATTTTATTTATTTGGTTCCTTTCTCTTCTCTCTTTTTTTAAAGACTGGCTAGGGGTTTATCAATGTTATTAATTATTTCAATGAACCAGCTCCTAGTTTGTTGATCTGTTCAACTGTCCTTTTGGTTTCTATTTCATTGATTGCTGCTCTAATTTTTATTATTTCTCTTTTTTTTTTTTTGCTTGGTTTAGGCTTTATTTGCTGTTATTTCTCCAGCTCCTTTTGGTGTAAGGTTAGCTTGTATATTTAAGACTTTTCTAATTTTTTG